ATCCGGAGAACCAAACTTGTTTCCCAAGACATTGTACAATACAGGTAGTCCTCGACTTATGGCTACAATTGAGCCCCAAATTTCTTTTGTTAAGTGAAACATTTGTTAAGTGAGTTTCGCCCAGTGGTGGGATTCAAAAAAATTTATCACCGGTTCTGTGGGCATGGCTTGGTGGGGGTGGCAGGGGAAGGATACTGTAAAATCTTCTCCAGTCAGAGGTGGGATTTGCCGGTTCTCCAAACTACTCAAAATTCCCGCTACCGGTTCTCCAGAACTGTTCAGAACCTGCTGGATACCACCTCTGGTTTTGCCTCATTTTATGACCTTTCTTGCCACAGTTAATGACTTGGAACTGAATAGAGTTAGCAGCAACTGTGATCTTTGTGGTAGACCTCTCTCCATAGTTAATTATAATATCCTTTCTGTCGCACAAAAAAGAACATTCCCACTATTTAGACTAAGTGCCTTGCCACTGATGGTTAATATATTGCCCCGTGATTTCCTGGGCTGCTGTCCAGATGGCATACACAAGAGAGTTTTGCAAATACTATTGCATTGTTATTTTTATCAGTTGGTTGCAACCTATTAATTTTCCATCGTGACTGATCTGGTGAGAACATTCTATTTTTATTACCAGAAAAAAAACCTACTTATTCATTCATTTAGCACATTTCTATGACTTCCCACTTGTCAAATTATTCTGAGCAGTTTAAAAGCAATAAAACAAACAACAAGGTGACTAAATTGGGATAATTGTACTCTCACTAAAGAAATATCTAGGCAGGTCACCCTATTTTGTTTATGATTATCTTGAGAAGGATTTGGATTATCTTGAGAAGGATTTCTTGATTGATTTACTTCTGCTCAGTCAGTCTGCAAATTCTGTTAATTCTCTGGTCTTTTGCCCTTTGTTTTTATTTGGCTGAATTGTAGTGTTTTCAATATTTTGGTCTTCAAAATAAGTTTAACTGCATACAAAAGTGTGCAGACACTGATAACCCCAACTAACACATCTCTAATATTTCTACAGGTATTCCTAATACATTCACCCATTAATACATTAAACAACTAAAAGGGCATTACACTTCCTAATTTTAGTCCTGTTTTTACAGAGGCACAATTGAGAGCGTTTTAATAAACTGCATCCCTCTTTGGTTTGGTGGCTGCTGTGCCTCAGATAGAAAGTCCCTACAGAGAGTGGTTAGGACAGCCGAGAAGGTTATAAGAAGCTCGCTTCCTGTTATTTAGGGCAGTGGCCCCCAACCTTTTTTGTGCCACGGCCCGGTACCGGCATCACAAAATGATCCGCGGCCTGGTACCGGCATCAGCACACATGACAAGGCAAGGCGAGCCGAGCGACCCCAAAGCAAGAGCTCCCTTTTTCGGCTTCATTTGTTCAACTAGAACCCATCCAACAAAGTAGAAAACTTGTCCTTCCACTAAATCCAAATTAAATTTGTTTTCGCTCAGTTTGTTTTTTTTAACAGCGACACCCCATCTGACCCCCCCACCTCACGGCGCTTACCCACCCGCTTGCCTTGCAATGAAAAGATTCTCCCGCAGAAGCGGCGCAACCGACTCCCTGATATCCTCCTACACGGCCGTTTGAATTTAATCTCGCGCCTGGAGGTCACGGGAGCGACACGGCCCTGCCCGATCAGTGCAGCCGGGAGCTTGAAATTAGTCAATCAGGAAGCAACAAAATGTTACTCGGCTCACTCTTTCTGTCCAGGGCTCAGCAGCCTGTGTGGTTCTTTTGAAAAATGCATGCCAGCTGTTACCATTCCCCGCCCCACCACACTTACCTCAGGGCTAACCGCCCAGATTGGCTATTTTTTGCATATAAAGTTTTGCGTCTGCCTATATCCTGGTCCTACCTCTCTTGTTTTTTTTGTTCTGTAATTTGTGAGCTCCTTTTTGGGGGAACGAATGCCTGCTGTAGCAGAACTTTATGCAGTTCATTTTTCGTATTTTCATTTTGGGAGAAAGGAAAGAAGAAAAATTGGAGTCTTTAAAAAAACCTTTCTCATCGAAACAAGATGGCGGCGCCCAGCAAACTGGCGGCCCAGTAGAAAATGTTCCACGGACCGGTACCGGTCCGGGGACCGGTGGTTGGGGACCCCTGATTTAGGGTACTGCTTATAAGTGCTATGTCAGTGGTGGCAAACCTTTTCAGCACCGAGTGCCGAAATGGGAGTGTGCATGCGTGCGTAGGAGCACCAGAAACTGGAAGCTGATCTTCCTGGTGCACACATGCGCGTCGGCCACCTGGTCTTCCGGTTTCTAACGTGCATGTGCACACAAAGATCAGCTGGCCATTGCACGCATGTGTGCCGGAAAGTTGTTTTTCCGGTTTCTGGCGCTCCAGCACATGCGAAGACCAGCTGACCGTCACACATGCATGCGCTGAAACCCAGAAGAGCAATGGCCGATGGCTGGCGTGCCCGAAGAGATGGCTCTGCATGCCACTTCCAGCATGCATGCCATAGGTTCGCCATCATGGCACTATGTGCTTAGAGCTCAAAGCATTGTTAGAAACCTCACATACCCACTTTACGGTATGTTTCTGTTGTTCCCCTCTGGGAGGAGGTTTCAAAGTATTTCTAGCAGGACTACTAGATTCTGTAACAGCTTTGTTCTTTATGCCATCCGTCTGGTAACCACGGAAGATTCACTTTTGTGCCATGTACATGTATACATCCAAGCCAGACTGTGTTGTTTCTCTGTGTCATATCATATATGTGGGTATATGCATAATTTTGTATTCATTTATTTATTTATTTAGTCATGTTTATGTAGTGTATATTGGAGGTAGTGACCCTTTGAGAGCTGTCTAACAATGGAATTTCATTTCAAAGTATGCCAATTAATGTACATTTGAAGTGACAAAGTTATTCTAAGTTCTTTAACTTTGAATCATTTGCTCAGCATTCCATTTACTCTCTACTCATGCTTTATGTCCATCCTATACTCCTTTATCACATACAGCAATCAACTTTCAACTCCATATTCATGTAGAACAATCCATAATTCATGTCTGTTCTCTTAATGTGCTTCTCTACATCAGCAAACATATAATAAACTTTCACATTTCACACATGCCTCAATTAACAAATACACTTCCTCCCTTAAGCATATTTTGTCCTATCCACTACTATTAAATGTCTCATTAGTTAAAGCAGGGGTCGCCAACCTTTTGGACCTCAGCGACCACCAAACTCATAATTCTATATCCCGCGGACCACAGACCCTGGGAAAATCCCCCCAAAAGCCTGCAGGAAAATTCCCCACCCCGTTTTCCTACCGATTGATCATTCTTTATTTGGGATCACAGGATACCATCTCCAGCTCCGTTCTCGGGAGAGAGAGAGAGAGAGAGAGAGAGAGACTTTTGGCTTCATGCAAGGAAAGCAGCAGAAGTCTTTCTTTCTCTCCCCCAAACTCCACCAGAAATGAATCTTTGCCAATGCAGCCTTTTGGAGCAGGAGGCCTTGCAGGGTCCCAAAGACTCATTTCTAACGGAGTTTGGGGGAGAAAAAAGATTTTTGCTGCTTTCCTTGTGTGCAGCCAAAAGCACAAGAAGAAAGAAGCAGAAAGAAGCAGCCTGGTGGCCAGGCGAGGCGCGTGGGGCGAGAAAGGCAAGTTCCCCCCTCCTTTCTTTCCCCCTCCCCTCACTATCGTGTTGTTCGCAATGCAAGCCTTGTGTTCCTGCACAGCCTGGATTAATTGCTTTGGGGGTGACATTTCTTTGTGGACCACCAGAATTTTCTCACAGACCACCAGTGGTCCCTGGCCCACTGGTTGGCGACCACTGAGTTAAAGGAACCTGACAAGGATCAACAAAGAATGAGAAATGCCAGTTTTATTTCAATCAACTTTTTCCAACTACAACATGTAAATTGATGTACATCAATTAAGAATTAAAATAAACCAAACTAGAATGAGATCTGAATTTAGACCCCAAAGTGCTAAATCCATTTTGATTAAATTGGATATTTTTATTGCACATATCCCTTCCAACATTTTCTTATTAGTCAAGACAAAAGCACAAGACTCTACCCAGTCCTCCCTTAACATTTAAAAACTTCAACATGGCACAGTATCTCCAAGTGAGATAACTTAATTCAATTCTACCACATTTTAAACGATGTTTTAAATCTGCATTCAAGTTTCCACGTGGGTCAAATCCCCAAGTTTATAGCATATGATGGAATCTGTTTTGCTTTCGTTCTCATTTGGAGACCTATATTTGGCTCGCAAATTTTGAAAGAAAGGAGGGGAAAGGAATTTGAAATACAGTTTCAGATACAGTAACAGCTAACTAAACAAACTTCCATTTGAAAAGAAGAAATTAGAAGAATTTCAAAGTGGGAAAAAACTAGCATAAAGCAAACAAGGCCATACCCTTCAAATACAGGCAGGTGTGAGGAGGTCTCTGAATTACAACTTCTGTACCCTTCATCATTGACCATGTTAACTGGAGCTGCTGTCAGTTGTACTTTAACATCGTCTAGACCAGGGGTGTCCAACCTTGGCAACTTTACGACTTGTGGACTTCAACTCCCAGAATTCCTCAGCCAGCAAAGCTGGCTGA